TTGCTCACTCTTTCCTTTAATACATGAGCCTCTAGACTTGAGAGAAGACCCTTGCTTTGTCTCCCACGTTCTGCCCTTGAAACCTGACATAGAGCACAGGTTAGGCCAACCACAAGCTATGTATTGATGGTTACTTGTGTAGCCACCCTATATAGAACCATAGGGTAGCTACACCTTGAAACAAGTCTTCCAATGTCCTTCAATGCTACCTGCAACCTCCCAATTGATTTCCAACGTTCTTCTGACTTAGAAGTGACCCCTAGAGTCCTTGCAAGTAGGTAGGAGGCGATAGCCCTTGAAAATGGAGTCCAAAACTCGAGACCGGTCGCATGCACTGAGCGACCGGTCGCTTTTGTACAGATCCTCCAGTCTTCGACTCTGCCGGAAAACGACCGGTCGCAAATAGCTGACGACCGGTCGCTAGTCAATCTTAGCTTCAGACTTCGACTCTGCCAGAAAACGACCGGTCGCAAATAGCTGGCGACCGGTCGCTAGTCAACATAGCTTCAGACTTCGACTCTGCCTCGAAACGACCGGTCGCTAATAGCAGGCGACCGGTCGCTAATCAATAAAAATAATGTTATTTCAAACAATGCCCACTCACTCCTAATAATTATAGCCGAGACCCACGACTCACCTTCACAACCTATCAATTGAGTTCCATGCTCAACTATTCCATAACTTCAATTATCAAAATAATATCCAAGAATTCCATAAGAATAAAACAATCTCATAATTGCAACATAATCAAAGTAACTCAAATAACAATCAAGACTTGTTTATAAGGCCGTTCTAGTACTTCTCAAAGGGTGAAACTACCTCGGAAGACTCACGGTCAAACGGCCCAAACTTGGTCAACCGTGCCCGCGGGGCCCACGACCTCCGATTTTCAATCCGAAGGCTCCTATGGGTTCAACAAAGTTTACTATACATGTCCATCAAGTTTGGTTTGAAACGGATAGTCGGATCACTCGCGATCGCACAATCGGATCGTTATCGTTTAATGCAAACTTTAAGTCATGGAATCGGAGCATTCGGGGCTCCGATTCACAATCCTAAGGATGTCTAGATCAACATAAATTAAATTGGAGTCGATCCAACGGTCCGAACATATCGAACCCAGATAATGCCTAATATGCGATATCCGATCGACAGTCAAACGATAACCAAAATCATATCCGAGCATACCATCGTGCTCGGGACGACATGGGGATCATTTTAGAACCAAGAGCAAACAGTGCCCATGCGCAGTCACACGCACCAATAGCGCGTGGGTGTCTAGAGAAATTCCGGTGACTGGAAAATCTCAAAATCGTTGGTCAAGACCGATACCTACATGATCAGGACATTAAGTGGAGCAACTTTTGTTCTTGGACCAACCCCAAAAAGTAACCGGAGGTGGCCAGAATCAAGGGCCGAAACCGGCCAAAACTTCTATTGTTTAATTGACAATCAAAACGTAGAAATCAATCCTAAACAACCCAACCATCAGCTAGAACACATTGAAAGGATGAGAAAACATAGCAAGTTCGAAGAAATTGGTGGCCGAAATCGCCAGAATAAGCGATGGAAAATTTGGGTTAAAACCGGCCAATCTTTCACGTTTTTCGGCAATAGGCGGCCGTGGCTGGGGAGGCTATGGGGCGGGGTGAGTAGAGGGGAGCTGGCCGGTCATTTTGGGACTGGTCCCAGCTCCGATGGCGGCTGAAGGTGGCGACGATAGCCACAAAACCAACCAGCCCGACTGTTTGAGGGAGGGGGTGTTGCGTGAAGGAGAAGACCGGAGAGAGAGAGAGAGAGAGAGAGTGTGTGTGTGTGTGTGTGTGTGTGTGTGTGTGTTTTATGATTTTAATAAACCCACTTTGAAATAATTACGATTATCCCACTAAGCTTCTCTTGATTGTAACTTTTTCGTTACAACTCTGAATCGAGCCCACTACATGTTTACGGACTCATCTTGACACGATCTATGTAAAAGCATTGGTCATTTCCCCAAAATCCTTACAGATTAAAAAGTGACCATATTACCCCTACCCCGGGGGCAATTTTGTAATTTCATATTTAAATTAATTAAATAATTTAAATGGATAAATATTAAATTAGGGTCAGGGTGTTACAGGTTCCTGCTGGAAGCAAGATGGACACTGCATCTATGCTTGATGAGTTATCTCAAGTTCTTGAGGTCACAGGTGAAGGCACTTGAAAATTTAGGCCAAAAAATTGAGTCCATGAGTAATTCGAATATTCCTCCGACAGGCTTTGCTTTCTCTTTCAACCCCTCTTTTCCCATGCAAACCCATCATCATGTCCCTCTCCACAACCCTAATCATATCCACCAACCCCACAGTTGAAAAACTAATCCAAGACCATAAAAGAAGCCCTAACCCAAAGTCCTTTCCTTTAATCATTCTCATCATCATCATCATCATTTCATCCCCAATGATTAACTTCCAAAAAAAATAATAATAAAGTAGCAAATTTTATATCCAAGATCCAAATCATTCTCTTCATCATTACATGTAATCCTGAGTTATTAACGCTTCATTCCATGCCATCATAACACCCACCACCCAAGAGCTCCACAAGTAAGACTTTTGGAAATGAAATTCTATTTCCACTACTATTTTTGCTGCTTCCACTATCCATATGTGCATATGCGTGGTGAAGGGAATTTACAGTGGAAGTAGCAAAACAATGATTGGAAAGAGTGTAGCTGCACATGATTTTGCTTTTACACAAAAGGGATTAGCAAATAATAACACCTATGATTAAGATCAAGGGCCAGAAAGCGATTACCACTTTAAGCTTTTGTTGTGTAATTATTTAATCTGTTCTTGTACTTGAAACTCAGCTTTCTTCGAGATCTTTGTATAGTGTAATTTTTTAATGTCATTGTTGGGTAACCAATGCAAGGGACATTCTCTTAAGACTTGTGAATCCTAGTCAGTGGTCCTGTCTCCTTGATTCAACCCAAATGCACTCGAAAATCACCCCAACCTCATTGCTTAGCACATGTTCTGGTTCTTTTGCTTTGGTCCTTTGGGCAGGTGGGTTTTGTACTTTGCACAAAACCCTTCCTTTTATCAAGAAAACTTGGGTATCCCAAGGATTAATTATGCAAGTAATGATATTCTTCATGATGACGCTGATCGGTTATTCTGGTGATAATGATGTGTGTTTATGAATTTTACGATTTTGGCACCTTTGCAAATGGCTTATAATAGTTTGGATTGTAGGTAAAGTTCCTAAACCAATGGTCAGCACCGTAATTTTATAGTTGCTTTTTAGTTACATAGAGAAAATTTGTGTATGCATTCTTTTATGCACTGCGTTGGATTCTCACATGTTTTGTTTGAAGTGGCTAAATGTGTTTTTCGTGGCTATTGAACAACAAGCCGCGGTGATCCATGTGCCTTTTTATTCAATAGACACGAAAAACACCTTTAACAACCACCTATAAAGGCGCGGGTGATTCGTGGGGAAAAATTAAACTTCGATTTAAAACTACAAATTCTATATTCATACCACTAATGATGTTTTCCTTGTGTGATGTAAATCTGACTATAAGGAAGGGAAAATTCGAAAATTCGAAAAGGATTCCAATAAAGAAGATAAAGAGCTGGTCATGCATTTTGTCATGGATATGAGTTGCGGGTTTTATTTGTCTTCGTCTTGTAAGGAATGGAAAAAAGTTGGTTTTGACTGGATAAAAAGATGTTATTGTGGTTGCAGATATTTAGCTAAATTTAGACTTTCTGACGTTCTCAAAGGAGCCCCGATCCCTGGCTTTGGGATTTGTTTTTTGGTTGCTCGAGCTCATATAACCCACTACTAGCAAGTTAGCAACATTGATCATGTCCCCAACTTAACCAATATATTGTTAAATTTCAAAAGGATGGACCCACGACCCACTACTTGTAACATTGATCATGTCCCCAACTTAACCATATGTGTTAGTAGGTGTGGCTTTTTATACAAAACGTCTCGATGTTATTAGTAGTGGAAGCTAGTAGGTGTAGCCATTCATTATATGGGGTATTTGATTTTATTAAATTTCCGATGTGAGACTTCAATATTCTTCAACATATATAATACATTAATTATTATTCAGTTGGCAAATTTTGTGCAGGTCTCAAAATAAAAAAAATTGCGTTGTAGGAACTAATTTGTTAAACAAAGATAGATTGAACAATTAAGTTAAACAGTTGTGATGTAGCTGTTGGTTAAAGAAACAATGACTAAAGATAGATTGAACAATTAAGTTGCTGGAACTTTGTAAAGGAAGAACAAAAGTTTCACAAAACAAAAAGAACATTTAGAGGACGAGTTGAGCAAATTTACATGTATATGAATGCTTTCTTCAACACACAAGATGAAATTTTTCAACACAATTAATTTTAAATTAATAGAGAAGTACTGCTACCTAGCTAAGGGTCTCATCTCAGTGGTGAATTTTACTGGCCTCATTTCAATTGAATCTTCTGATTCAGTGTCTGGGTTTTTTCGAGCCAACTCTACAGCCAAGGCCAAGGCTATTTCAACAGCTTTCCAGACAGAGTTGCTGCCAAAGTTTCCATTTAGCCATGGATCAACTATACTTTTGATGTCCCCTTTCTCAACCATGAAACTAACCCATTGACAAATGTACATTTCCTCATGTATCATTGATGAAAACAGGTCGACTTGTGATAATCTCCAACAGCACAATCCCATCACTTTTCTCATTTAACGTGTTTGCTAGGTTGTACCTACAAACCAAACGATGTAACTCAAATCAAGTCTGTGCCTAAGCATCAATTTGTCCTATTTTTCTCATTCTTCTGGTTGCTTATGATTTATTTTATTTAAGTTTTACTTCATTGACAATAATTGGAATTCTAGAGCTGAAGTTTAAACTATAAAAACCGAAAATACTCACTTGGGGTCCAGGTACACATGAGTCCCATCTTCAGCAGAGAAAATTCCAGATAGGCCAAAGTCAGATGGTTTGGCTTGAAAGTTTTCATTCAACAAGATATTTGTAGATTTCACATCTCTGTGGATTATAGGACGTTTGCAACAATAGTGAAGATACTCCAATCCTACATTTCAAAATTTTCACAACACATATCACACAAGATAAAAAATATATGGAAGTATGAAGGGATTGTGAAATTTTTACTTGCCGACCATGCGCTGCGTCCATTGCAATTGGAAGTCTGCCTGCCCAACTCAATATATTTGAACTGTTATCTGCATGTGTACATAATAAATCAGTCTTTTCCCTTCGTGCTTGTAACTAAGGGAACATCAAATCATGTGGTGATGTGAAAAAAATTTCTGTTGAATCACATTTTACTCTTCACTCATTCTCTTAAATGTGAAAAAAATTTCACCAGTATCTACTCAATCAGTCTTTTCCCTTCTTTTAGTCAAATATAAGGATATATGGGAATTTCTGATATATTTCTTCTCTCAAAGGAGGTGTATATATAGTGTACAATGCCTTTTTACCCTAGGAAAAGATAAAAGCTAATCCTGATAGAACAGGTAATACAATATTTACAAGAATCCTAATATTAATTTCCTACCTAAAATGGGACTCACGCCAACACTCCCCCTCAAGTTGGTGCATAGATGTCACCAATACCCAACTTGTCAAGTGAGTCACTAAGTACATGGCTAGACACTGCTTTAGTCAAAATATCTGCAAGTTGTTCCTCTGATTTCACATGTGGTACACTAATCACATTGCTTTCCAATTTTTCATTAATAAAATGTCTATCAATCTCCACATGTTTAGTACGATCATGTTGGATTGGATTGTTAGCTATGTCGATTGCAGCTTGATTATCACAATACAATTTCATGACATCTTTAGCCACAAAGCCCAATTCCTTTAATAATTTCCGAATCCACAACATCTCACATACGCCATGAACCATGCTTCGATACTCAGCTTCCGCACTGGACAAAGAACAAACCTTCTGCTTCTTGCTTCGCCAAGTAACAAGGTTACCACCCACAAATGTAAAATAACCTGATGTTGAACGCCTATCAGTTCGATTTCCTGCCTAATCGGCATCTGTAAAACCTTCAATTTTCAAATGTCCATGTTTTGAGAACATCAGCCCTTTGCCAGGTGCAGACTTCAGATACTGTAAAATTCGCATAACTGCTTCCATATGAACTTCACTAGGTGAATGCATAAATTGACTCACAACACAAACAGCATAAGCAATATTTGGCCTGGTGTGAGATAAATAAATAAGTCTTCCAACTAACCTCTGATACCTGTCTTTATTTGTTGGAACTTGATCTGGAAGAATCTCAAGATTAGGGTTCTGCACAATAGGAGTATCAGCAGGTTTACACCCAAGCATCCCAGTTTCATTCAATAAATCTAACACATATTTTCTCTGTGACAAGAAAATACCCTGTTGAGATCTAGCCACTTCAACTCCCAAAAAATATTTCAGCCCTCCAAGATCCTTCATCTCAAACTCAGTTGATAAATAATGTTTCAATTTATCAATCTCTTCTGTATCATCACCTGTTATTATCATATCATCAACATATATAATTAAAATAGTGACCTTCCCTTTCCTCCTCTTCAGAAACAAAGTATGATCTGCATTGCTTTGACGATAACCATATTTCTTCATGGCACAACTGAATTTGCCAAACCAAGCTCTAGGAGATTGCTTCAACCCATAGAGTGATTTCCTCAACTTGCACACCAAATTTGGATTTTCCGATAGATCAAATCCTGGAGGTAGGCTCATATAAACTTCTTCCTTCAATTCTCCATGTAGGAAAGCATTTTTCACATCAAATTGTTGGAGTGGCCAATCTAAATTTGCTGCAAGCGATATTAAAACGCGAACTGTGTTTATTTTTGCAACTGGTGCAAAAGTTTCCTGATAATCAACACCATATGTCTGAGTATATCCTTTGGCAACCAATCTCGCCTTGTATCTATCAATGGTACCATCTACCTTGTGTTTAATTGTGAAAATCCATCTCCATCCAACTGGTCGTTTTCCTTGTGGCAATGAAACTAAATCCCAAGTTTGATTCTTTTTCAAAGCCAGCATCTCTTCATCCATAGCTTTCTTCCATTGAGGAGCAGCCAAAGCATCTTGCACTTTAGATGGAATAAATTCAGTTGTCATCTGATTAGCAAAAACTGCACATGCTTCAGATAATCGATGAGTAGAGACATAGTTTGCAATTGGGTAGTTTGACTTCTTTGACTTTTCAGGTGAAAAACGATCTGGTGGAATTCCTCTATTACGTCTGGGAGGCAATTGATACCTTGTTTCTGCAACATTATCAATATCATTTGTAATTAAATTGTTAGTATTAATCA